ATGTCATGTTCCTGTGCAGGTCAGAGGGGAGACGATTGCCAGGGTTATTGGTTGAAACTTTGTCTTTTTAGACATAACAATTTACTTGAAATAAAGAATTAAAGGACCACTATAGTCCCAGGAAAACATACTCGTTTTCCTGGCACTATAGTGCCCTGAGGGTGCCCCCACCCTCAGGGTCCCCCTCCCGCCCGGCTCTGGAAGGGGGAAAGGTGTAATAACTTACCTTTTTCCAGCGCTGGGCGGAGAGCTCTCCTCCTTCTCTCCGCCTCCGATCCGCCCCGCCGGCTGAATGCGCACGCGCGGCAAGAGCTGCGCGCGCATTCAGCCGGTCGCATAGGAAAAAAGAAAAACGTATACCGCGCCTAATTTATATATGTGAAATATACATACATATATCTTGAATATGCCAAACGTATCGTAACCTCAAAGAGAACAGATTAAGAAACAAATAATAGTGCAATACAGTAAATATATTCTTTAGAGCAGATAGTATAAGGCTAAGTTCATTCCACTCACATATGGATGAGCTATAACAGAGCTCTGCTGTAAGAACGCCTGGACGGTACAATCCCCGTCTTTGGATTTGTAGAAGTTTCCACGAATATTTCCACAATGCAGTGAGCGTAGTAAACTTCTACAAATCCAAAGGGGGATTGTACCCGTCCAAGCCTCTTCATCAGCAGCAGAAACTCAGCTACAACATTGTTCTGAAACCCTATTACTGCGATCCTAACAATGCTACGCCCAGCAATGAAAATAACGTGACTCAGTTATCTTGTATATGTCCACTACAAAGGTTTGATTTTTGCTTACTGCTGCCTGTCACTATAGCGGCGCCTATTCTTCGTCTTTTTTCTAATTAGCGCAGGAAAGCATTTACAATGCTTTCCTATGGACGCTTGCGTGCTCTCACTGTGAAAATCACAGTGAGAAGCACGCAAGCGCCTCTAGTGGCTGTCAATGAGACAGCCACTAGAGGATTAGGGGGAAGGCTTAACCCATTCATAATTATAGCAGTTTCTCTGAAACTGCTATAATTATGAAAAAATGGGTTAACCCTAGAAGGACCTGGCACCCAGACCACTTCATTAAGCTGAAGTGGTCTGGGTGCCTAGAGTGGTCCTTTAAGGCAATCTGCCACAAACAGGAAACTTTGTAAGAAAAACAGAATAAAGACAATATGCCACAAATGGGATATCTTTAAAGTAAATGAATTAAAGTCTTTTATATACAAGTAGGTTTGAAGTGATTCCAATGAGATTAGTAGCTTGTGGAATGTCACACTGCAGTCAGATTCAGGATGATACAGGGTTGAAATAGTTAAAGCTGGTAAATAGTTTCAGTATAATATAGTTCAGGTTGCTAACAGCATCATGCAGTGTTGCAGCAGTTGAAGCAGTTAAGGATGTTCAATATGGTAAATCAAGCAGGCAAGTCTCTTCTGATTGAAACAATGCAGATAAATACAGGATGTTTTCAGGAGCCAGGATCAGAAGTTCTATGTCAGAACACTGACTTCATTGTCAAGGCCCTGTTGTGTACAGGGTGTCGACTTATGAAGCCTCCTCATTGGTTAATACAGGTGAGGATGTTAAAGTGAGTGAAGAGATTAGTGGCTAGGGAGGCCACTAGAGGTGAAGATCATGAAGTTCTCTTAAAGGGCCAGTAATAAAATTAAACAATATCAACAATAGGATCCTGACATATTTTTATTTAAAAATATATATTATTTGTAAAAGATTTTTTAACAATCCTTTCAGTATATAACATCAAAAAAAGTGTCAACGGGTTCTTAGGAACAATTACTTGGAAAAACTGAAGTCTTCTTGTGAATAAATACTTTTCAAACTTCCCCTTTTGTCTTTCACAGACTGCATGGGGCATGATTTATTATTTCCTTTCTTGTTTTTGATTCTGAGCACAATAGAACTTTTTATTTTTACAATTTACTTATAAAGCTTAGCATTCCATTGTGTAACGGGGGAACATACTTTATGACCTCCTGAAATGGTCAGGAACAGGAAACATCTATATTTTACAATTAATTGGTAAGCAAATCTCATAGATCACATAGTGCATATGGTTCAAAGATCACTTTTTCAAATGCATATCTAATGCAGGTTATATACAAGCGTCGACATACTGTTTTTTTGATTTGGATAATACACAGAAAAATAGTTACAAATAGACATATTAATCAAGGCAATACTGGAACAATTGTAGGGCAAAGTAACAAATCTGAAGGAATCACTAAAGGAACACTGGATAAGAACTTTGGAAGTAAAACACACTGTGATGTAAGATACGTTTGAAAATAAAACTTTTTTTTCATGGAAGCAGTGTGAGTCACAGCCAGGGGAGATGTGTCTATAGCTGCATAAACAAAGTGATTTATCAACTAAATGGCAATGAATTAAGGATGGCACTGCAGGAGCATAATCTATACACCAAAAGTTGTTTTGGTACTTAGAGCATCCCTTATAAACCATAATTCAACCCTTGCGATATTTGTTTTATAACTTCAACATTTTTAAGGAACACTATAGTGTTAGGAATATAAATGTGTATTCTGAATGCTATGGCATACAACGTGCCCCAGACGAAGTCGCATCGTTGGCTCTGGAAAGTGCATTGGGTGTGGTATTTTTCTCTTTATTTAGATTAGATTAAGTTGGGATTTGATACTTTGTATTTTTTCTTAGTTAGGCAGGTGATGTGTTTATGTGGGTAAGTAGGAGCTTTAGGCTCAGATGTAATAGTTATTTAACAACTCGAGACTCTTCTTGTTCATATTTAGCCTGTTGGAGACTATTTAGCTCATATAGCCTTGCTTTAGACAGGTGGCAGGTGGGATCCTGGTGTGTGGAGTTAAAGCAGATGGAAACTGGAACATACCTATGGTTTTCGGCTCATAGACTTGTTTGCATCATATTTGTAGCTAACGGAGGATAGAATACTCTTTTGGTTTAGATACCCTTATTATACAACTGTCTCTTAATACAGCAATTTATGTGTATTTAGGAACTCTAGCCAACTAGTCTCTATCTACTCAGGACTCCAGTTGAAATAGCTGCGTGACAAAGAGGATAGCGTGTTATTTTTTATTTTGATTTAATCATCTTGTATTAACCCCTTAAGGACACATTTTGAAACTATTATGTCATAATTCCCTTTTATTCCAGAAATTGTGTCCTTAAGGGGTTAATCAACTCCTTAGTGGATATGAATAGAAACATTGTTACCAGGTTTCTGAGATTGTCTTTAGACTTGCTTCTATATGTTATGGTAACCGTCTATTATAGCTGAGGTTACGAGACTCTCGCTTTGTTCTTCTCTAGGGTAACTATTTACCCAGTTCAGTTGACAATATGGTTGAGACATACCTGTAAGTTTTCTTTAATATAGGAAGTTCTAAACTGGTTCATGGATTGCGGGATAAAACTTACCAGGAAAGGTTAAAGGATCTTAACATGTATAGCTTGGAGGAAAGACGAGACAGGGGGGATATGATAGAAACATTTAAATATATAAAGGGAATCAACACAGTAAAGGAGGAGACTATATTTAAAAGAAGAAAAACTACCACAACAAGAGGACATAGTCTTAAATTAGAGGGACAAAGGTTTAAAAATAATATCAGGAAGTATTACTTTACTGAGAGGGTAGTGGATGCATGGAATAGCCTTCCAGCTGAAGTGGTAGAGGTTAACACAGTAAAGGAGTTTAAGCATGCATGGGATAGGCATAAGGCTATCCTAACTATAAGATAAGGCTAGGGACTAATGAAAGTTTTTAGAAAATTGGGCAGACTAGATGGGCCGAATGGTTCTTATCTGCCGTCACATTCTATGTTTCTATGTTTCTAAGATGAGAATCATTTGACAAGGGGGGGCGGGGAGTGGGAGGGGGGCGAGAGTGTGTGTGTGGGGAGGAGAATGTTTTGGTGGGGGACTTTTGTTTTAATTTTAGTTTTTTCATTCACTTGATTGTATTCATTTACGAATAAAGTTTAAATGAACCCTATTTATTGATTTATCAAATGAATCTCTCTGCTTTCCTCTTCATTTTGGGATTTCACTTTCACTTATTTGAGGATGATAGGGGAGGGAGTGGGTGATGGACAAGGGAGGCTGGGGATTTAAAAGAAACATTGAAGAACCAAATGTAGGAGGGCTGTAATATGGAAAGTAGGGAAGATTGAAGCTTCCCTTTCCAGTGCAGGACTTCTCCCCCACGATACCAACAAGGATAGAAGCTCACCATGTCAGTGTGTGCTAACGACAGATGTCCTTGTTACACAGATTTGATATTGGTCAGTCCAGAACAGAATTCCGGGCGGTCTACATCACATCTGGGGGGTCCAACTAGCCCCCACAAAACTGTAGATATCTTTGTATGTGCAGTGGTTTAAGCAGAAAGCTACACATTCAGACTCCAAGCACCATGACCACTTCTAAATGCATAAGTAGTGGGAATAACCCTTTAACCCCTTAAGGACACGTGACATGTGTGACATGTCATGATTCCCTTTTATTCCAGAAGTTTGGTCCTTAAGGGGTTAAATCTAGCCCTGGTTGAAAGGTAAGTGAAACAGTGGTAGAAGTGACACTGAGGGAGATCAAATCAATAGAGTAACATAGATTGTATGTTAGTACTCAGAAGTCCCAGATTCTCAATCAGTGCAGTATAAGTACCCTATTAGTTGTGTTTGCACTGTGCAAAGTGCTCTCAGTCCTTGCATTAACAGGCACATAGCTTAACAAATAAAATACATTTAAAAACACATATGTATTTGAACTGCAGGTAGCTTTTGCTTACTGTCAGAGAGTCCCAAAAAAAAGTATAACTCTCCACAGCTTTTGTAGAACTACAAGACCCAAAATGCTTTGTCAGCCTCAATGGCAGCAAAGCATCAAAGGGTGTTGAGTCCTGTAACAGCTGGGAGGAGGTTTTCCCCGCATTCCATTTCGAACACAGTGTATTCGCGCTAGTGTGATACTGGACTTTTTTTGGTCGTTCTGCAACTCTGTAGTCAGGAAGTTGCGCGCATGCGCGGTGCTGCTATTTCGACTGTCATGGCGTCCTGCATGAAAATGTGTTCCCTGACCAGGGTCACTAACCGGGCAGTGAGTACCTTAGGAGGAAATAAGCTGAAGGTGTCGGCAGAAGAGGCCACAGTGGCAGGTAAGTGCTCTCTATTGGTGTCCATTACCTGAAGACCAGGATAATGGGAGCAGGGTTTGGTGTCAGACACTTAAGTGGCAATAAATGACTTTCCTTCCAGTACAGTGTGTGTCAGTCATAGCCTTCCCTTCTAGACACAAGCAAATTATATAGAAATGCAGGGTGCAGGGTTGGAATGGGGGTTCAGGGATATGGTGAACCCTACAATATGGGACCTAGGTCATTGCTAATGGCCTCCACATAATGTATAACCACTTTAGGCCAGGGGCAGCTAAAAATGTAAACCCCTTTCCTTTTTTTTTTTTTAGGACTATAACACCCATGACGCCTTGAGAGCCATAAGGCTCTAAGGTTTTTGCTCTCTTAATTTGTTCTTGCCCCTTTAATGTTAGTTGAAGCTGTAGCCACTAGTCTCTTAGTTTGTGCCTGCAGCATATTATGGGGGTTGAAGTTGTTCATCTTCTTGGGCAGGCATAGGCAACCTTTTGGCAATGCAGATGTTTTGGGCTACACCTCCCATTATGCTTTTCCAGCATTATGGATGTAAGAGGATTATGGGGGATGTAGTCCACAACATCTGGAGTGCCGAAGGTTGCTTATCCCTGTTCTAGGCAGTTTAAATGACGTACTGCTAGAAACCTCTATAAGTTTCGGATGCTTCAAAATCACGGTGTGGTGCAATAGAGGAAAATATATTTTAAGATCTGTAGAGCATAATCACATACAATGTTTCGGCATAAAGTCTTAATCATTTATATGAAATGATTAATAGTATACATAATTAAGGTTTGGTGTTGAAACGTTGTATGTTTTTTTTTTTGAGTACGTGATTTTAAAGATTTTAGTGACTGCAGACCCTGCCGTGGTGCTCCTGGGTGCAATATTTGCAAATTACCTGTGTGCAACACTACCTTTTGGATTTGACAGTTTCTGATGCTTGATCCAAAAGCATGTTGTGAGTTTGTATCCGTGTAGTAAAATTTAACTTTGAATCAATGACTTTGCTGCTTAACAATGCTAAATATATTGATTTTTTTATTTTTTATTTATTATTCTTAGATCAAGAAGTCACAAGGAAATCATTCACAGATCTCCAGAGAGAACGACATAAGCAAGCAAATCTATCTGTTCTTATTAGCTGTCCCCCATATTTTAATGAAAACAAGTTTATGAAATATTTATCTCAGCATGGGAAAGTAGCCAATCACTTCTTTTATGAAAGCTATGTAAGTATTCTTCTGACTGAATACAACCAGAAATGTCAAATTTGTATAACTAATAAAAAAAATAAAACCCAAAAAAACAACTAAATTTTATTCATTTTTATGGTTGCTTCTGTTTAGACAACTTTTTAGAACAGATCCTTCTTCAGGACAGTAATGTGTTCAATAAATTTGTGCACAGGTCGTCTGTATGGATGCATACAATTGTATTTTTTTCCTGGTGAACAATTAATGGAAACACCATGAGGCTTAACTTCTTTTTGTAAAGTTACACCGGGCGAAGTGCAGTGGCAGGTAAGTTTTAGTTACTGAAGCTGTCCTTCACGACTGCCTCCATCTTCATTTGTTGCATCCTCTTCAGCTCCTGGTGCTTCACCTGCCAGGAGTCAATGTCTGTAGTTTATTGACATGAATGAAAGAGAGCACAACACTGATGTCTATGGAGGATCCTGCAGGAGCCTCCCTGGACCATGCCTTTTTCTTCACTGCGTCAATTGCAAAACTTGACGGCAGTAGCTCTGTTTTTTTTTTCTCAGACATAGAAAAATAGTTAAGAAAAAGTAGTCCCTACTTTGTCTTGTATTTTTTGACTGCTTTGAAATTTTAGTGATCTCCTAACAGTCTGTGTATTTCATGAAGATTTTTATTGTTCTTAAATACTCCAGGGGGGGTGACAGAGCCATATTAATGTAGTACATTCTTTGAAAGGTTTTGCAAGTTATCTGCACTGCATTTTGTACATTCTGCTCTGTTGTTTCCTGTTCCAGTGAGGATATTTACATTAAAGTGGCACTATAAATACCTTAGCCACTACAGCCAGTCGTAGTGGTTATGGTTAGAGCATGCTACTGGCGCCATCCCCCTTTTCAAATGGCTTAACACAAACTGAATCTGAATCTGAATCACACCTGGGCGCCTCTCCATAATACTGCTGCAGAGTTCCACTTCTACGATAGCAGAATAAATTTTTTAGAAATTTGGAAAGGAAAGTCTGTCAGCTGATGGTCTTGGTCCATCAATGTTTTCTAGATTGGACAAAACCGCAGATATAGGTAAATATACAAAAAATAAGGATTCTATTCCACAGAATCCCATACAGGTATAGTACAACAATTCATTGCAAATTAAAACTTTCTACAACCTCTTGTGCACTCCCTCTGAAGTATTACTTGAACTTTACTCTTATACAATTATTTTACCTGATGAACTGATATATTATATTTAATGGCGTCTCTTTTTCATCATATGTCTTTGTAAAAGAATGGTTCGCTACCTCTAACGCCTAATTTTTCTATTTTAAAGGGCACTCATGCAGTGGTGGAATTTGTGGAAAGAGAAAGCATAGATTCTCTTCGAGCTGCAACTAGGGTCCCCCATGGAGATGATGAGTGTGTTGTTCCATTTAAATCTAGACTTCTCACTCTCAAATCAGATCGTGCTCTGGATCGAACATCCATTCAGTGCCTCCGACAATCTGCAGTTCCTATAAATGAATTAATTCAGAAGTTGTGCAAGGCCCAGGATGTAAGCTAAATGTATTATCTTGTTGTTAGTCTTATTTTGCCCCCTTAGCTATAGACAAACCAATGCATATCTGCAGCCACCATGTCTCATTAAGGCTTCATTCCAAATTATTTGTATGATGCGAGCATGCATTGTGTTTTGAGCACTTGGGTTATAACAGGATTTAACAATTCTGAATACATCTATACTTAATCTCTTTGAACCAAATTTTCGCAGTGGTGTTGATACAGGTCCCCTGTGACAGTTGTCGATGTAAAATGGTCAGCTGTGCTTTGGCAGTGGTTCAAGGCCTAAAGCGAATAAGCATGGCCAATCCTGCAATAACCCCTTGCTCAGAGCTTTGCAGAGTGTGAGCACACAATAAGCCGGAGCTCTTGCCGTGTCCATTTTTAATATGTTGTACCTACATTCCAAACTCATTTTGTTTTTGATAATGAACAGTAAATGCAAAACGTCATCCATAGCTGTACATTTTGCTCTACACCAAAACCAGAAAAGAAGATACAAGTAAGAGACCCATGGTGTACATCATATCTGCATTATAACTACTGAGTAAAAACAAATACATAGAAAACAATCCTTAGATTACTTCTCCCAAATAATTGTTTCATGAACTCTGATTTTATATATTTCCTTCCGTTTTTATTGTTCACGTTGCTCAGGTTATTTACAAGTATATTATTCACTCCCTCTCTTTCAGATTAATGAGCAAGTTTATACACTCCTAGATGAATACCAGCTAACAGATGAGAATATACGCCTTCGGTTCCTTGTGTCGTCTTTGATAAAGGATGTTGCTACAGCCTACTTCCCAGAAGCCACAGTAGACCCCTTTGGCTCAACTGTAAATTCCTTTGGCAAACTGGGTTGTGATTTAGACTTGTTTTTGGATTTGGATAACATTGGAAAGAGTAGTACTGGAAAGGTAAGAAGAGTGTGTTATTTTTTTTAATGTGGTCACTATTTGAGTATTCATCTATTTGTGATGGAAAACTTTGATGTCGGTAGTAAGTTTAGGAGCACTTGGTCTAACTGTAATTATACTGCCATGCAAAGAAATAGGGTTTCTGAAGCCTGTTATATTGAAATATGATGAGGTGTGTGACTTATTATTTTTTTTTTTTTTAAGCAAGCCAGTACAAACTCATTGTCTAGCTAAGAATCTTGGAAATTGTAGTTGTTGTTATAGCTGCAATAACTACCTGTTGATAACCCAACCTATGCGTAAGAGTATACAGTTAATGATATCTCACATGGATGGATCATAATGCCAGTAGGATTAGGTAGTTAGTTAGTTAAAGTGTAAGTTGTAGAACTTGTTCATTTCTTCTGTTTGCATGTTAATTTACCTGCAGGGCCAAAAAATATAATTTTCTATTATGGTTGCATTGTTGAGTATTTGAATGCATGATATTAAATACATGTACAAAACAGTCTTATTTTGTTTGTGGTACAGAAATGTGTGTAAATTTTTCACAATTGATACTCTTGTTGTATAAGATTAAATTAGATTTACTAATAATGTTGCCCATATTGCAAGCATAGGTTTTAAAGGGACATTATAGACAAATTTAGCTTTATGAAGCAGTTTGGGTATATTGATCATTCTGCTGCAGTCTCAATGCTCAGTTCTCTGCCATTTATGAGTTAAAGGAACACTATCTTGCACCTCTAAATATAGTAAAATCTTACCTTTATTCAAGTCTGCTGGTGCTGGCTCTGCTCCTGATCTGCCTCCTTGGATGACATCATCCGAAGTGATGGTATCAGCAAATCACAATGCTGTCTCATAAGAAAGGATTGGATTTGCTGAGATTGTCAGTTCTGATGATCTCTACCAAGGAGGCGGACCAGAGGTGGAGCTATTTAAATAATAACCCCATGCAGAGGGAGGAGATACTGAATGTTAGTGCCACAGGATGCACCTATAGTGGCCATCTGGAGGTGTCCCTACGCTGTAATGTAAACACTGTCTGAAAAGACTTACTGCAAAAAGCTGCATGGACCTACTATACTCACGAGAACAACTACAATAAGCTGTAGTTATTCTGGTGGCTATAGTGTCCCTTTAAATTACTTTTTACTTATGTTTATGCAGCCCAAGTCACCCCTTCCCTGGTTGTGACTCACACAGCTTGCATGAAAAAAGTCAAATTTTCAATCCGATTTTAACTTGCTTTAGACGTTCTTGTCTCATGCTCTGTAAATTGAACTTTAATCGCACACAGGAGGCTCTAGAAGGCCAATAACAGAGCAGGAGATATGAAATTCTAGATTAAAACATACTGTGCAATAAAGGAAGCTAAAATACCTAGGTTCGTTTTGAGGAAGTATTTGGGAAGGCTGTGGAAGTCACATGCAGGGAGGTGTGATTAGAGCTGTGTTAAAAAAAGTGATTTAACTTCTAGGTATCAACAGATTAAAGTTTTTGCTGATATTCCGATGTGTGTATTGGCCGATAATCACCGGCAGTACCAATAATGAATGAGTGGGATGGCGTGTCCATAAGGTGGCACAAGCGGCTGCCTTAGGGCACACGGACCCGGGGGAGGTTGGTCCTAGTGACCGACAGGAGGTGGGCACACAGCGCTCCCTCCTGCCAGGCACTCTGTGTAGCGTGGCTGAGCGGAGCAGTTCGCACCTTGGTACACAAATTATGTTTCCTGTGCCTGGCCGGACTGAAAGGAAGTGCTCACTGAGAGAGCACTTCCTGTCAGTCTGGCCGGGTACAGGAGACTGAATCTGCTGTATCGCGGTGCGCACTGCTCCGCTCGGCAACACTACTGGGAGACACAACGGGGAGCGGGAACCAAGGAGATGGGAGAGAGGGGGGCACTGTGGGACAGGGGGTGGGGGTGGCAAGGAACACAATAGGGGAGGTTGGCAAGGAACACTATGGGGGAGAGAAGAACATTAATGGAGGACACTAAGGTACAGGGTAGGGAAGGGAAAAGGAACACTGGGGTGAGAGAGGGCTCTAAAAGAGAAGAGAGAGGAACAGGGGAATTGATTGGGGGGCACTAAGTGACAGGTAAGGGGTGGGGAGGAGGGCAGTTACATACACACACACACACTCTCCACCACACTCTCCAACACACACACACACTCTCTCCAACACACACACACACTCTCTCCAACACACACACACACACACACTCTCTCCAACACACACACACACACACACTCTCTCCAACACACACACACACTCTCCACCCCACACACACTCCACCACACACACGCTGCATTTAGTAATCAAATACTGCATCCACTACACAAATACACACAAATATTCTTGAAAACATAACAAAAATTTGACTGGCATGTATATTTTGTGCATTTACCACTTAAAGGACCACTATAGTGCCAAGAAAACATACTCGTTTTCCTGGCACTATAGTGTCTCTAAGTCCCCCCCACCCTTCGGGTCCCACTCCTGCCAGGCACTAGGGTGAGGAAGGGGTTAAACACATACCTTTTCTCCAACGCCGGGCTCCCTCGGCGGTGGGGACTCTCCGCCTCCTTTCCCCGTCAACGGCTGAATGCACATGCGCGGCAAGAGCTGTGCGCACATTCAGCCAGTCTGTGAAAATCACAGTGAGAAGCGCGGAAGCGCCTCTAGCGGTTGTCAATGAGACAGCCACTAGAGGCTGGATTAACCCATGGGTAAACATAGCAGTTTCTCTAAAACTGCTATGTTTACAGCAGAAAGGGTTAATCCTAGATGGACCTGGCACCCAGACCACTTCATTAAGCTGAAGTGGTCTGGGTGCCTATAGTGGTCCTTTTAATAAAAAAAAAATTGCAAAAAATAAAATAAAAAAATACGGTAAATGTACAGAATATCGGTCTGCTATCGGCTTGAAAGTTCACAGATTATCGGATATCTGCTCTAAAAAATCAATATCGGTAGATCCGTATAACTCCTAAATGGCAGATAATTGAGCAGTGTGACTTCAGGGACTATATACCAAAACTGCTTGATGTAGCTAAAGTTCTTTTTTTTTTTTTTTAATTCTTTATTTTTGTTGTGCACAATATTAACAAATAACCTTGGTGCGCCACAACAGCGACATCCGGGTGAATTGGTGAACAATTGAAATACAAGTTGTGGCATTCGCTAGACAGGCACATTTTTATGTTAGAGAGATCAGTATTACAATAGTTTAGGTTCTCGTTTAAGTGGGTTAGCGAGGTGCACATGTCAGGAAAGGGTAAACAGAGGAGTGACATAGAGACGAAGCATGACATGTGCAATCATTGTATGAACACAGCTTTACACGTAGTATATGCTAGGTTGATTCTATCCTATCTCTTGTCTGGCTAGACAGGGAATAAGTGGTTGCAAATTGCGCTAGACTTAAACCAGAAATAAGCCTACAGGAAGCATATAACAGGCATGTGTGAAAATACTACTGATGTTTATAGATTTGAGGTGTTCTAAACAAAGGAAATAAAAATAATAGTGAATGCAATCAAAGTTATAACATGTTACCAAGGTAAAGCTGGCTGATACCCTGGCTACACTTGGTTTGGTATGATTCTACACAGGACCCTTAGCCTATGCCACTTAGAGTCCAAGTCTGATGAGGTAGCTTGGTACCGGGTTCTGCCTCCCCTTCTTGCTCTTTCCGTGTGCGGCGTCGAACTAGGAAAGATGTTGACCCCCATGGGCCGACGTTCTTGTGTGCCTGCCGCTGTGGCTTCTTGCGCTTTCTCGCTTTGTTAGCCGTGCGGTGGCTGTGTATATGCTTGCCGCTTCGTGTAGTAGGATGACCCCCAGGACCCGCTTGACTTTCAGCAGGCGTATAGAGTGATTCTCTGGGTTGCTCTCCTTCAGGAGATTCATTTGGTGTCGCTTCAATAAGAGCCTCCAATTTGGCCCAGAAATCCGCAAAGGTCGCATCCAGTCGCTCCAGCACATATTCAGCCGCACCTCCTCGTGTCTCCATGGGCTGATTCAGACCCGGCTGGTGGAGCAGAGACCTGGCCGCCATCTTAGGTGAGTCAGCCGCGATCAGGCGTCGTGGTATGATAGCTGTGTAGGGTCGACCGAGGTGCCAGCCAGTGGATACCGGGATAACCCCCACCGGTCCGGGGGTGGGGGGGAGAAGATAGCTTTGTTCACCGGGACCACATAGTAAATGAAAGAGCTCAGGCTTGTGTAGGCCGCTGGCCACTACCAGGACGTACTGGGTCCAGACAGGCTCACAACAACTATCCTCCGGTGCACCGAAGACCCATTGGCAATATGAGTGCTTATTGTGGTCTGATTGATGGGTGGCCCGGGTGTAAATCTTGATTTATTGGGGCCAGATGCAGGAGCTCTTGCAGAGCACGTCTGGCTTCCTTGGCAGTCAAGCTCCACCCCCGCTAAAGTTCTTTTAGTGACTAAAGTTCAGTTTGTTAAATTGCAGCTAATTGATAGCACACCATGCTCCATTTTTGTCTAGTAATTCCTTGATAGGGAACTTTCTTTACCAGTAGTACTCTTAATCAACAATCTAGGATTCACGTGCCACTTTGTAACCTTTTTGTTTGCTTTCATTGTATTCATTTCACGTTGCATTTATTTAATTGTTGGGATCAGCCTGCATATTGCATTTTTTTTTTTTTTTTTTGGGGATTGGGCAATGTTTGCTAAACTGTCACGTTCTGCAGGGCAGGGTAGATGACTACCCTGGAGAACGTGACAGTTTAGCAAACATTGCCCAATCCAAGGTGTATAATTACTGATCTGGCTTGCATTTACATCAAAAAATTATAGTAGCTATGTCAATATAAAAACCTGTTTCGATCCAAAAGAAGCATTTCTAATTGTATTTTATGGTATTGATTTGAGTATGTACCCACTACTACAATTGTGGGGATTCTAACTTCCATTCAGGTCATGTGCACTTAGATTGTCAGAAGGGCTCTGCTCACCATGTTGATCATTACTGAGGATTCCCAGAAATCACTAGATATTTAGCATGCATGCAGCCCTCATCCACTTTTTAAAAAAAATTTATTTAAGGAAGTAAACCATGAGTTTCTACTGTGATGTATCACTTCCCTCTTTTTTTTTTTTCTCTCCTCCATGATATAACTTAAACCTATAGATTCTCTGACGTCTGTAAATATAAAGTCTCCCTGTACTGATTTGCATTGCAGGGTATAGAGGGTCGACCTTCTGCAAGAGTTTAATATCTGACGTGTACTTGATGATGTAAAATGTCATTATGACTTTGCTCTTTATAGTCTCCTGCAGTAGGATGTATGTGAGTGGTGAATAGGTCAGTGTGTTTGTACACCCAGAATGCACTGCATGCATTCAGATATATATATTTTTATTTTTTTTAATATTGACTTCTTTAGAAGAAAAAGTGAACCATAAAGTGTTATGGGTAGATACATGTTATTCCATGAATTGTATTTACGAAATTGACAGCAAATGTATTGTTTTAAAAGCGCTACAAATCACATATTTTGTTATAGTACGGTGTTTATACGATGTTTACTTTGTCTCTTCGCTGCAGAAATACATTTCTAATTTTCAGCTAGCCAGTAGAGACTAACAACGCATTGTTTGCAGTCATACAATGCATTATGGGTTTTCTGTTGCTATCCTACACAGCAGTACTTTACTTCTAAATATATTCACGTATACGGTTTTATACAATTTCCATTTTCTTTCATTTATTTATTTTTATTTTTTTTCTCTTTTCTTACATGTCTGTGTTATTCATAGAAGTTTTTCATGGACTCTAGGTTCACTTTTTTTTTTTTTTTTTTGTGAACAATCATGAAAACTGATTGGAAAAACAAGATATTTCATGTCTGTGCAAACCAGTGTTAACACTAAACTAAAACAATTCAGATGACTAAAATACGACTAAAGCTAAAATGGCTTTTTAGTCAAAAGACTATGACTAAAAATAAATTAAAATTAACACTGGGGCGGGTAAGACACATGAGGGGAGGGAGGAAAGGAAATGAGATACATGAGAGGACTGGGAGGAATTGAGGCACATGGAGGGGGCTGAGAGAGGAGAGGAATTGAGACACGTGGGGGAGCTGAGATGCATGGAAGGGCTGGGTGGACACAGCAACATGGAGGGACTGGTGGAGAAAGAGACATACAAATGGGACTATGGCGAATATAGAGACACACAGAGGGGCTGGGGAAAGGGCAAAAGACAGACCGGGGCTTGGGAGAGACACACCCAGAGAGGCTGGGGACACACACACACACACACAGAGACAGAGGCTTTAACTAAACCCATTAGATTTTAGTCTACTGAAGATTTAGTCGACTAAAACCATTCAGGTGACTAAAATATGACTAAAACGGAAATGGCTTTTTTATTTTATTTATTTTTTTATATATATATGACTAAAACTAAATTTGAAATTTACCGCCAAAATTCACTGGTGTAAACACAGAATAATGAATGGCAAACTAACATTAGAAAAAACAAACTCCCTTTTTGTTTTTTGTTTTTTTTGTTGTTGTTCTGTCACAATGTTTGGTGGAGTTAAAAATAAACAACAAACTAGATTGTGGAAGCTGATCATTTGATATTTCTAGTGTATTAACAAAAACGCCTTTTAATTATCTTCTGTAAAAACTAATCGCTCTTGGATAAAATGTACGCTGACCATAAGGAGATGGTAAGTGTTTTATGTTGATTTTAGAACCATCTTTTAATATTTAGGGGATTATACAGTGTGACAAACTCCCCTTCCCACGTGTGTTTGCCACGTGCTAATTTTGAGCATGGTGTACTGTAATGAAACATATTTTTTTTTTTTAATGAAATCCGTTAACACAAGATACGCATTTCAGAACATTGCAATTGTTATTTTTGTGTGTTTCAGGCTGCGGGTTCTTTTACTTCTGAGTATCTAATGAAGCATGTTCCATCTGGAAGGGTAGTGACGCAGAGGATTCTTTCGGTCATCAGTGAATGCATAGATAATTTTGGACCAGGATGTACTGGAGTGCAAAAAATATTAAATGCTCGATGTCCTCTAGTACGATTTACTCATCAGCCTGCAGGCCTCCAGTGTGATCTCACATCAGATAATCGGTAAGGTTATTGTTTCATGTAGAACTGTAATACTGTAATAGTCCTTGCAATAAAACAACTTCTTATGGGTGATAGATTTGTAACTGTTAAAGGGATACTTTGACCACCATAACCCCTACAGTGAGCTGTAGTGGTAAGGTGTCAGGAGTCCTCTGGCGCCGTCCAAAAGTAAAGTATTAAAACATACAAGTGGTTTGACAACTGTGTCTGTTGGACGTCTGGCCTGAGCCACGGTCTAACCTTGTGCGTTAAATCTAGGAAACAACAAGAATGTCACTCTGAATTTCGGGTAAAATTATTTGTTTTTGGGAACAAACTATTCCGTACATCAGGGCTTCACAAATTTGCTTTGATAATCTTCAAGCTCCTCTTGCTCTGCTCCATCGTGCACTGTTTAGTGATGTCGAAGCTGGAGTGCTCCCGGCATCACAGCAGGGTGTGCGAGAGAGAAGAGCAAGAAGAGTTTGAAGATCACAGCTCCCTCGCCGCCCACCTGCATTCTCACCTGGCCACCTACATTCTCCATCACCCGGCTGCCTCGGATCACGTGAGCTAAAAAAACACCCAGAAGCCAGGACAAAATTCCTAGTCGCAATGGCAACCAGATGCCTGGGATTTGTCGAGCCCTGCCGTACACAAACACCACAATGAAATAGTAAGGGTGCCCAGAGTCCACTGAGGCCTCTTACCTTAAACTTTTAAAATATGATTTAATACTTTAACATTTAAGTGGAGTCTCACAGACTCCAATGAGAGCATGAGCTCTCTCTTTCAACATATCAATGTACAAGTAAGTGTCAAACTGTCTCTAAAGGAACACTATAGTCACCAGAACCACTACAGCTTAATGTAGTGGTTCTGGTGTTTATAGCGCATTCATCCAGTCTTTGCGCTGTAAATGCTGCCATTTCAGAAAAGGGCAGAGTTTACATTGCTGACTGGTAACACCTTTTAGCTTCTCACGTAACCCCAGTGACTTCCACAGAGGGTGCTGAAGAGCAGCTCCGGGAGATTCATCCAGCGCTGGATTCAAGGTAAGTAAAACCTTTTATTTCAGTTTTTACTACAAAGTGAGGGGGGCCATCATCACAGTGCTCAATAAGGGAAAGGTTCCCCTACTCAATAGGGTTATAGTAAGCCTTCAGGTATTTATAATCTTTATTGTGGAGCATGGATAACTACCAGTACTCTGGTTTTATTAAGAGCCATAAATGGCATTTATCATTTTATTTTATGTTCTTTATCTGTGTATCTATAAGTGTTACATTTAATAAGCGTCTATTGCTTTTCCTTCACATGGTGCTAAATCTGGCATTGCTTAAAAAAATAAAGTGTGTGTATATTTATGTTACTGGAAATTTCGCAATAGGAATCTTTCGAAAAGAAGTGTAGCAATCCCGTAGAATTTGTTTTTACCAACAACAATTTTTTATTTTTTTATTTTCTGCTTTGAAAAGCATCACTGAACCTAATTTTACATGACTATTGAAGCTTGTTAGGCAAAGGTTCTGCGTGATGGAACAAACTGCTGTGTGACGTTTCTCTTGAAGGCCATATTAAATGATGTTGTGATTCATGTACCCATGGAGAATGCGTTGGGAGTCCTTCTACCACTGATTCACTGTCATTTTTATATATTCGGGATAATTTGTAGCAGTACAGTTATTTTGATTGCTTGCTTGAATTGTGCCAAACCTAAACTTTTTGTGCTGTGAATTTAATCGGTTTTAATGTTATGGAGAAACACTGAACTTTTGTGGATATGTAATGTTAAACATGTCTCCTCTGTAAGTTTCCCATGCTAATTAGTGGGAGAAGCACAGTACTCTGGTTAATGCAACGACAGATTATATAGCCTTGAACCTGCAGGAAACATAAAAAGTAATTGAGTCATATATGGGCATCATGAGAAAACAAAATAAATAGTATGTGGAAACCAATTAATAGACACTACAAGGTATATTATCATGAATGTTTTCTGTTATTTTAGATTCCTTTCAAAAATGAATAGTAATATATACCATGGAAACAGTATTCCCTTTTTAAAGGAACACTATAGTGTACACAAAGCTGTATTCCTAACACTATAGTGCCCCCCATCGGCCCACGTACCCCCCATCTGGGGGCACTCAAAGGGTTAAATAACCCTTTAAATGCTCACTTTATTCCAGCACCAAGGTCCCTCCTCTGACATCATCGCAAGCAGGATCTTAATGTCCATGGACGTCAAGCGCTGCAAGCACATGAGGCCTTCCCCATAAGAAAGCATTGAATTAGTGCTTTCCTATAGGGATTTTGCATAAAACTCTGTGAATCAGTAGGAAGCACCTCTAAAGGTTGTGTGGTAGGCCACCAATAGAGGCAGTCTGAGATGAAGTGGTTTGGGTGCCTATGGTGTCCCTTTAAGTTCAGTTTATGGAAAAAAAGTCACATTTAAGTTACTGTATATACAAATATTATTGGAAAATTCCTATTTTTATCACTACAGATCAATTTTATGTTTATTGTTGCATGCATTCGATGTTTGGGTTTTTTTTTTCTTTTTTTTTTTTTCGCTATATGCTTCTCTTGGTCCTTACCATAATTTAATTGGTATTCTGAAAATATCCTATTAAAAAAATACACAAACCCCCCCCCACAAATCATTACAAATACAGGTTTGATCACCCCACTTTCTTAAAGGACCACTATAGTGCCAGGAAAACATACTCGTTTTCCTGGCACTATAGTGCCCTGAGGGTGCCCCCACCCTCAGGGTCCCCCTCCCGCCTGGCTCTGGAAGGGGGAAAGGGTTAAAAACTTACCTTTTTCCAGCGCTGGGCGGAGAGCTCTCTGCCTCCTCTCCTCCTCCGATCCTCCTCCTGGACTTAATGCGCACGCGCGGCAAGAGCTGCGCGCGCATTCAGCCCGTCGCATAGGAAAGCATTTACAATGCTTTCCTATGGACGCTGGCGTGCTCTCACTGTAAAAATCACAGTGAGAAGCACGCAAGCGCCTCTAGCGGCTGTCAATGAGACAGCCACTAGAGGATTTGGAGGCTGGCTTAACCCATTGATAAACATAGCAGTTTCTCTGAAACTGCTATGTTTATAAAAAAAATGGGTTAACCCTTGAAGGACCTGGCACCCAGACCACTTCATTAAGCTGAAGTGGTCTGGGTGCCTAGAGTGGTCCTTTAATGCTATAATAATAGTAACTAATGTAACTTATTTTTTGTGTGTGTGTATATATTTAAATTAAATCTTCTTAATCATTACTGCTCTGTTCAATTCTATATGTGTACGGATAAATACTTTCAATTCTTTTTTTTTTTTCTGTACCTCTGAGTCCCTCTCTTGTCTGATTTTGGTAGTGCAGTTTTACAGTAGAAATTCAAATTGTCATTACTAGGTTCCCACAAACCTGCACCTTATATTGATATATGTATGTTGGGTTTATTTTTTTTCTTCATGTTGTGGACACATTTAAAGTGTGACCTCATAGTGCACCAACCGATGAAAAAATGTGGGTGTTTTGCATTTTGACTCATACTTTAGAAAGACCAGGTCCTTGGCGTTGAATGGAGAAACAAAATATAATTTTGGACAAGGCAGTCAGTTTATAGATGTATATGTGATGTATGTAATCTGTTTGACTTTTTTTGCATTTTGATTTTAGAACTTCCCTTGGTTAGTTTGTGTTGCATTTAAGGAACACTCCAAACTCCTAAGATTCTCTTCGGTTGCTGAAGTGCTTTAAGGGTTAACATAGTGTCCCTCTAGCTTACTTCATAGAAGTGCCAATTTCAAGTGAAATTTGTACCCTCCTCATTGTTCTTCCTCACACTGAGTGTGAGACTTCTCATAGAAAAGTATTTGTTTCAATGAAAAGCTTTATTGGTGGATCATGACGTTTGACGCTCATGGTCTCTGCATCCCTGTGCTGTTCTTTAAAGATTGAATTGGCTGCTCCGAGAAGACAATCCTGGAGCGAAGGGGGGGAATAAATAAAAACACACAAGTTGTGCACAAATTTCACAGTAGGCACTGCCATATTTTGGTTGGTCTTCATAATAATTGCTAAAAGAAATGCCATAACCCATCTTAACCTTGTTTGCTCTCAATAGAATTGCGCTGAGGAGTTCAGAGCTTCTTTACATATATGGGAATTACGACAATAGAGTCAGAGCTCTGGTGTTCGCCTTGAGATGCTGGGCTCGAGTTCATGGAATTACAAGTGCCATTCCGGGGGCCTGGATAACAAACTTCTCCCTCACCATGATGGTCTTGTTTTTCCTGCAGAAGAGAAACCCTCCAGTCATCCCAACACTGGATCAACTGAAAAGTCTAGCAGGTAAGGGAGCATCAAATTTCAAGACAGCTGCTTCTCTGCCCATCTTTGGGCTATTATGACATTATGGGCTATTATAGTTTGTTTAAGGCTATATAACAGATGGTGCTCAAAGTTAAATCAGGTTTTCATGATTATATGTGTATTGAGAATACCTTTATTTTAGAGTTCTTATTGAAATTCTTAATTTGCACTGACTGGCAAAGTTCTTCTTTAAAATATATTTTTCTGTATATATTTAAGTTCTATATCCATGCTTAAATCTCTCTATCAGGGCTCAACATTTGAAGTCCTACGATAGCCATACACTATGTCAGAGAGGCCTGGCAAATAGCATAGGACATAAAATGTTGAGCCCTAATATAAAATTCTATTCTTTTTAACAAGCAGGAGGCAGAGAGAGCAAAGGTAGTGTGCCCTCTATTGTTGCCATTGTCGATTGAAAATTCAGCCTTGACAAGTAAAAATGTACCCTTGTGTGTGCTATGGCTTGCAGAGGCAAGTAACTTAGAAGACCTTCCTAGTAGCATAGGACTTCAAATTCTAAGCCCTGTCTAGATACTGCCTCTTGGTCAGAGCCCAAAATGTGTGACTGTGTTCACTGCATCTCTGTTTGTTTCTCCAGTTTTCAAGCATGACCTGCAGTATACTTGTATATCACAATTAACAGTTTTTATTTATTAATTTATTCCAAAACTAATTCTTACCAACATAAATGCCTGCTTTAAAATTTTTGGTATGTGGCTATATATTTTCTCTAATCTATTGGACGTTTTTGATTTTCTTTCTTTTTTTACAGGGAAAGACAAGTTTATTGTTGATGGCAATGACTGCACATTTGTTAGCGATCTGAACAAGATTCCGCCTTCTAAAAATTCAGAATCTATAGGTAATTTGATCATTTTGTAAAATGCATTTGTCGTTTGACTCCATCATTTGCTTATGTAAAAATTTATTTTCTTTTGCCATAGATGTGCTGCTCTGTGATTTCCTTGAATTTTATGGAAACTTCGATTTTATCAAAAATGGCATCAATATCCGAAAGGTAAAATCTTCATAGTAAACCATATGAAAATAATCTCCTATGAAAAGATGTTATCTATTCATAAAAAAACATGATTAACAGCCTCTATCCCTTAAAATCGGATCAATACAATGTGTGTGTTTGCTATTGGATTCTTACTGGTATGACCCAAATACAAGTACTGCATTTCTATTTATATGTTCCTATCCATCTACAAGGCTCAGCCTCTGTAATTATATGGGTGAATGTTCTGACCATATCTGTGCCCAAACCTTGAATACTCTGAATTTTATATGTATAGATTGCTTTGCTACAGTCATTTGCAGCATTCTGACATAACCTGGAGATTACTTCCTGTTTTTATGTATTCTACGTTTTTCTTTATAGGGAAAGGAACAGAACAAGCCAGATTCATCTCCTTTGTACATCCAGAATCCTTTTGAACAGACCCTAAACGTTAGCAGAAACGTTAACCATTCCCAGCTGGAAAGGTTTATTGCCTTAGCCCGAGAAAGTGCCTGGGTTCTGCAAGAACAGCGGAACCATTCTTCAGAAAGAGACAAGCAGGCCTGGGGTCTAGCTGCAGTATTCCTTCCTTCAGTGTCTCAGGGTTTTGGGAAGGGCAAGAGGAAGAAGAGGAAAGGGTTTGCAAGTGAGCGAATTAAAGGTCTTTTGGAATCTTTGAAGAATACTGACAAAGCTAGGTAGTTACGGAAAGACACTAGCTAACAGAACATTGGTCTGTTGTCATCAAGCCAAGTCCAGAAAAAGGATTGACTTACAGGAACGTTCTTTGAAACATTGGTACTTTTTTTAGTCTGTTTACTGAACAAAAGATGAAGTTATCGTCTTAGCCTGGAAAAATAGGGAACGAATGGAGTTCATGTGGATTGAACTGATAATATAAAAAAAAAAAATGAAAAGAAACTCTCTAACCTGTAAAATCTGTAATATTTTATATTGGAGCCCAGCAGATTATTCTTAAAACACAATAAACATGTTGGGTGTTTTTTCATTTCCTTTTTTTTTTATTTTTATATATGTATTTGTCTGATTTTGTTTCACTCAATGTTCATTTTTGATTAAACTCATCAGAGCTATCAGCGTATGAAACCTATAGGAACAGTTTATTAGGACAGGTCTGGTTTATCTCGTGAGATATTAAATTGGTTTCTCCACTTGCTGTATATTTTACTCAAGATTGACTCCAGTTGATAACTGTAGATTTTAGTATTTCAGGTCACTGAAGGTCTTGGGGCAAATTCATAATCCATCCCTTAAGTGTGCCAATCACAGAAAAACTATTCTGCATATATTAGTAGGAAACAAATACAGAAAAAGAAAATTAAAACCAGTGTGTGAAAGGACCAGTGAAAACACAATTTTCTATTTAAAAGCAAGCGATAGACAACATTTTAACACACAAAAAAAAAGTGCATTCTGTTTAAAATTTGTAGATGTTTCACCTGGCAGGCCTCTGTGACCGAGATGAGACTCCACCAATCAGGAGCCTCTTATTCTGGTTTATGGGGTCTGAACAGCATCACAACAGATCTATGATTAATCCGCATATTACACTGTATTGGTATCTGTTCTGTTAATATTTTATAATCTTCGGCCCAAGACCCACACCGTATCCCCAGGTGGAGATCATACCACCCAGGCACCTATAAGGAGAGCTTACTGAAAGCTCTATGTAATGTTAGTCCATTTTTTTCCCCTTTTTTCTGTCTTCCCATATACAATTGACCTACTAAACCATATAATTTCCTTTTGTGTGTCTGTTTCATTCCATATTGGGATACCCCTGAGGACTTTCCTAGGCTCTGCTCCCTCCTGTATAAATCTATCATAAAGTTAGTTGAAAAATAACTGTTGATTTAAGTGGACAAAACACATTATTTTTTTTGAAAATCTTTTTATTAAGATTGAGATATGTCACTATGTAGTATGCAGTGAATTGGTAAACAATGTGAAACTCGCAGGTTTCTATAGTATATTAGTACACAAAATACAACAAAATGAGATATGCAAATCTCCACATAACTTCCCCTAGAGAGACATTTTAGAAGCAATATAATTATACAACGAGGGGGAACAGTGGTATCATATAAAATGGAACGGCTATAACAGACAGGTTGCTTCCCTTAGCCAGTATGTGCGGAGAGGGTAAACGGGAGTTGCGTCGGGAGAGGTCGTTCTCAGCTATTTATGGCGGGAGCCACATAACACTGTGTTACCTGGTCTTTCAAACGGGCAATTGAAGTCATTGTATGGGAGGCAAGCCACTGGCTCCCGCTAGGTTCGGGCCCGTAGGTCCGTGTTGGTGTCGCTAGGTGTATCCTAGCACGCAAAAATAGTGGGAGTATTCCCAGATCGTAGCTAGCATGCGTGAGGGCCAGCGTCGTTACCAATCCTGGCAGAGCCTGCAATACGCTAATATCCCGTGTTGCGAGTTACATGTCGTTGGTATTGACAACGTGAGTGTCAATGTGGGTAAATGTGCTGCGTCATTGGTGTGTGTACCAGCGTTAGCATTTGGTGAGCGTGAAGTGGGTCCTTTCGGTGCACAACCATAAGTGATGAACACGTATTGTCCCTCACCTCGGTTTGTACCACAGTAGTATGTGTATCTAAGAATATCTCGTGTTCCCCAAGCCATGATTTATCGTTCAGATCCTGCGAGGACTAAAAGCATACGTGACGTGAGGGTGTAGCAAATTGCATGCCTACTAATATTTCCTCCTAAGCCCCCTCCCTCAGCCCCGAGACCCGGAGCCCATTAGTTAAGTGATTGCAAAGGTGAAGAGAGATATGGAAGGAATGGGTATAAAAGAAAGGGAGGTAGGGTGGGTTAGTCTGCGTTAAGTGGAACCAGCGTCTGCTGTCACTCCATTAGTGGGTTCAGGAGAACCTGCACTTTGTCTGTATTGGGTAATGAATAGGAACCAAGGGAGCCACATCTCCGTATGTTTCGTTTTACGGTCGGTCAGGGTGGCGTGAATGTCTTCCGCCCCATATATGTCTTCCACCCTGCGGATCCATTCTGTCTTTGACGGTATGTTGCGTTGTTTCCAAAGTGCTGGTATGTTAGCTTTAGCCGCGTTTAACAGGTGGCGTAATATAGATCTTTTGTATGTCCTGATGGGTTGCGTCGAGATGTGCAACAGGGCTAGCTCCGCGCTCCATTCCGGGATATCTCCCAGGATGTCAATTATCGCTTCCTTAATCATCGTCCAGTATGGAACGATGTCCCTACATTCCCACCATATGTGTATCAGTGTGCCGCGTTCTGCCTGGCATCTCCAACACAGTGGGGTGATTGATGGGAAGATCCTGTGCAACAATATTGGGGTCCTGTACCATAATGAGAGCAATTTGTAGTTAACTTCCTGGTAGTACGAACTCATTGAGCTTTTCTGCTGCCACAGTAATGCCGTGTCCCATTGTGCTTGTGTGAGTGCCTTTCCGAGTTGTTCCTCCCATTGACGGCGAAAAGTGGAGGCCTGAGATATATCCCCTATAAGTAAGTGTTGGTACATCGCTGAGATTGCGTGGTCTAGTGGGGTGCCCCGGATGCATAGGCCTTCAAACCAGGTGAGGTCGCGATGCAGGCGATCATTGTGCGGCAACGAGTTATAGTAGTGTTGTAATTGAAGGTATCTGAGGATCGCGAGAGGGGTCCTAGGTTCTGTCCCCAATAAGGAGGTCAGGTCCCGTAGCCTACCCCCTTCAAGAACTTGATAGATGGGGATATAGTCCCTAGTGCCCGCGATAGGCCATGCCCCTGATGGTAGTCCGCCTCCCAAAGTCACATTATGCGTGATTGGAATCATGGGGCTGGGGGTGGGCGAGATGTGGCCCAGGTTCCTCAGCGACCTCCAGCCGAGCAGCGTATGTCGTATCAGGCCCCCTCTATTTTCGTTGGACACCTGACCCCTCACACCTCCCCATATCTCCATCTCGAGTGATGGTCCGAGTAGGCCTTTGTCAAGTTCTACCCATTGTTTCGTTGTGGGGTCCTGGTGCCAGTCCAGTATCCGTTGCATCATCGTGGCTTGATGGTATTTCTTGATATCCGGGAGTGCGAGTCCTCCGTGATTTCTTGGTCGGCAGAGAATGTCATATCGGATTCTGGAGCGACCGCCGCGCCATACAAATTTGATTATAGCCGTTTTCAGAGAGGAAAAGAAGATACTTGGTATGGCCAGTGGGATTGTCTGCATAAGGTAGAGAATTCTCGGTAAGATATTCATTTTGAGTACTGCCACTCTGCCGTGCCATGTTATGTGAGGGTACGACCATCTATTCAAGTCCGTGACGATTGACTTCATGAGGGGAGTAAAGTTGAGTTGATATATATCGTCTGGGGCCGTGGCCACCCAGATTCCCAGGTATTTCATTTTACCATAACACCAACGGAAAGGAAATTGTGAGTCGAGGGATGCGTATTCTTCGGAAGGAATCGTGATGTTCAAGACTTCACATTTTGAGAGGTTAAGTTTGAAACCTGAGATTTGACCAAATTTGTCGAATTCCGAGAGCAGGCAGGGTAATGTTGTCCTAGGGCTTTGCACAAAAAACAAGAGGTCGTCAGCGTACGCGGTTACTTTATGGTGTGTATCTCGCCAGTTATAGCCCTGAATGTCCGGGTTTAAGCGAATCGCCTGGAGTAGTGGTTCCAATGACATTGCGAACAGAAGTGGTGAGAGTGGGCAACCCTGGCGGGTGCCATTACTTATCGCGAAGTCGGCCGTCGTGGACCCGTTTACTCTCACATTCACGTGTGGTTTACTGTATAAAGCTGATATCCAAGTGAGGAACCTATGTCCACATCCCATTCGATGTAGTGTGGCCTTCATGTACGTCCAGTCGACTCTATCAAATGCCTTTTCCGCATCAGTTGATAAGAGGAGTAGCCGGGTTTTTGTTGCTCTGGCATGTTGTTGGACGGAGAACAGCCGCAGAGTGCTATCTCTAGCCTCCCGTCCCGGGATGAAGCCAGTCTGGTCTACGTGAATCAGATCCGGTAGGAGGTGGTTGAGTCTGCTTGCAAGTACCTTGGTGAATAACTTGGCGTCTACGTTCAACAAGGAAATTGGGCGATAGCTTCCGCAGAGCAGTGGGTCCTTTCCCGGCTTAAGCAAAACCGTAATGGTCGCTGCTAGGGACTCCGCGCCCAGGTTCCCGCCTTCACCCACCGCGTTGATTGCTTTGGTCAGCCACGGTAGAAGGAGATTGGAGAAACTCTTATAGTAACCAGTCGAAAAGCCGTCCGGACCTGGGGCCTTGCCCGATTTGGATACCTTAAGGGCTGCCACTAGCTCCTCTGTGCTAATCGGTGTGTCGAGCTCGGCCGCCGAGTCTTGGCCGATTGCGTTAGTGATCGTGTCGGACAGATAGTTTGTTATTCGTGTGTCGTGGCTTGCTTCGAGCGTTGTCCGATGGGGAGGGTATAAGTTATAAAGGTTTTGGTAGAAGGTCCGAAACTCATCAGCTATCTTCTGTGGGAATGGGGTCACCTCACCCGAGGCCAGTCGTAGTTGTCGTATTTGTCTGCGGGGCATAGGGCCCTTGAGTAGCCTAGCCAGGTATCTCCCCCCCTTATTAGCGTGGGCATAGTAGAACCCTTTCGTGCGTTGTAGACTGCGAAGGTGTTTTCGTGTGATGAGGTCTTTAAGTTTCCTCCTATGTTCCATCAATTCCCCGTAGACCCCGGTCAGTTGTGACCGTTTGTGTTGGCTCTCCAGCGAAGTTATCTTCTGATATAAGTCGGTCATCTCAATCATAGTTGCTTTTCGTTTTTGTGACGCCAAGCGGATAAATATACCACGAATGACACTTTTGTGGGCCTCCCACACGGATATCGGGGATGCGTCAGGCACGTCATTTTCCCTGAAGTAGTGTTCCAGTTCCTGATGTATTTGGTCTTTTGTAATGGGGTCCAGCAGCAGCGCCTCATTGAGTCTCCATGTCCAGGTCGATGGTCGGAACAAGGGGGATTCTAGATCCATCCAAACCGAGCCGTGATCCGACCACGTAGCTGGGTCTATGTCTGATCTAAGGAGGCGGGAAAGTCCCTCTTGTGGGATGAAGAGGTAGTCTATGCGCGAATACCGGTCGTGAAGGGCGGAGTAGTAGGTGTAATCCTTCACCGATGGGTTAAGTGTCCTCCAGCAATCAGCCAATCGTAGGTCTTCCAGTGATCTCCTGATAGAACGTATGTTGCTCTGCGGGATGCAGCTATGTCCCGTCGAGGAATCTAGCATTGGGTCCAGGGGTACATTAAAGTCTCCCCCCACGATCAGGATACCATCCGTGAAGTCCTCCAGGATGTGGAGCGTATTGCGGAGAAAGGGTGCTTGCCGTCGGTTGGGGACGTAAATGCTGGCCAGGGTGTATACCTTATCAGCTATGATACCTTTTAGGAAGAGGTATCGTCCTTGGGAGTCTTGCGCGCGTTCAAGTTCCTTGAATTCAAGCTCAGCAGCCAGGATGATGGCTGTGCCAGCTTTGTGAGCCGTCGAATGGTTGGAGAAAAAGTTGTCAGGGTAGTGTCTGTTTTTTAGTGGAGGCGCTGCGCCCTCTTTGAAGTGGGTTTCTTGAATCATAGCCACTGATATGTGTTTTTTCTTCAGTTCCCTCAAGAGATGTGATCTGCGTTCAGGTATATTGAGGCCTCTGCAGTTTTGTGTAAGGACCCTTAGGGGTGTATTCTGGTACGCCATTCCCAAAGCGTGGTCTAAGTATGCCTTTATATCCCCACTGTGCTAAGATTTCCTATGTCCCTGGAGGAAACCGTCAGATCACGCGGCTTTGACACAGATTAATGCAGGAAGGGTAAAGGAGGTGGAGAGGGAAGAGGGAAATGGGAAGAGAGGAAGGATAATGGCAGATGCCCTAGGAAGGTAGATTTGGACTCCGGATCTCGGAGAGGAAGCCCGTCCAGGGTCAATGTGGTGAGACGAGGTTGGAGCCCGTGTATCGGGCAGCTACTCTAGTGTCGGGTTATCCCGAGTGTAGAGCCTTATGGAGTGATGTAAGTAGTGAGTTTCGTGCTGCAACCAGTACTAGTGGTACCTCGCCCCGGTGCCTGCCCAGTGGGCGAGAGCAGCCACAGCCCGGTTGCCCAACTCGTAGCACGAGAGTGTATTGTGGGAAGCGCGCGTCAGGCTCTGCCCAAGAGAATTGGTAAACCAAACAGTGGAACCGTCAGCCCCACCCGACCCCCGTCAACTAGTGTCGAGCCAAGTAGGTCAGTCTGCAGTTGTCTGGTGCTCTCTGTTGCTCTGGAGTTTGTCTCGGGAGCGTGGTAGATTGGTTAGGCATCAGCTACTGTTCCCGTCCCAGAACCCCCAGGTCCCTCATATGTCCCCAGGGTGGAGGAGTCGCCCCAGGTTCGCGGTCTATTGCTATCTGGATCTCAAAAATTCAGCTGTATGTGTCCCGGTGAAGCAGGAGTGAGGGGGGTGGAGGGGGGGCAGCGATACCATTACGTTCAATAATGACCATATGGGGACTAATTGCGGGATATCTTTGTCAGTCAACAGTTGTCCTCCCTAACTACTCGTCTGGCGGGAAGAGTCTGCCATTTCCCACTAGAGCATCAGTTGGTGACTCGGGTCTATGTTTGGTCAGCACGGGGCCAAGTATATGAGAAAAAAAATAAAAATAAAAAAATAAAAAAATAAAAAAGGGAAAAAGGGTGCTAGAACGGTCCCATAGGTAAAACATGCAGCAATAATAAAACTTGATGCAACATTATATCAACAGCATTCCCCGGTGTTCCCACCCCACCCCCCAACCAATAATACCCCCCTGCCCCCTACGCCTCTCAAATCACATATGGTGGGTCAAGGGACTCTCTTGGGCCAAAAACTGCCACCGCCGTACAGCTCTCTATGAGCGGGAGGTGGGGGGGGGTCCAGCCACTAATCTATCCCGCTGTATTCCCATCTCACAGGATCCAATCGAGAAGTAGAAACATACCAATAGTTGCACAATAAACCACCCCACAAGCCCCCCACCCCGTATCCCACATACTTAAGTATATGCTAATATATATACAGTTAGATTAGGAAGAGAAAAAAAAAAAAAAATATTAAAATAAAAAATAAAAAAAACAGACATTTATCATTATGGTTACTTAATAACGTGGGTACCAGGAGTCTCTGTGTGCAGTTCGAAGCTCAAAATGGTCCACACCTTTACCCGAAGAGCCCCCCTCCCCAAAACAAATAAGTCCGGTTCCCAGCAGTGAAACTTCTATAAGGTGAAGAGGGCAGCGGGGTAGTCGCATGGAGAGTCACCCGGCGAAGCCAGAGCAATTAGGAGCACGCCCATGGGCCTGTGCCCCGGACCCTTAAATACCCCCAGACCCCCCCAAAAGGTGGCTCACCTTATCCGTAAGCCCCAGCAATGTCCAAACAGACCGTGGGGGTTGGTGTCTCCGTCTCCACAAAAGTTCTCAAGAGTAATAAAAAAAAAAAAAAAGGGGGGGGAATAAGACCAAAACTAGACTGGTGGGTCACCTGCATTAGGGCGTAGGGAAATCAATGTCCGCCTGAAAGATCCACACTCACTCTTCTGGGGAAGCCGGATTTCGGCGCCGTCTGGCCGGGTGAGCGGAGGGGGAGCGAGCTTCCCTCCGCCTTGGCAACCTCTGCGGTCTCGGTACGGGGGCCGTCGATCCCAGGATCCAATTGGGGACGACAGGTGTTGGAAGGCCCAGTTCCTCCATGAACCGCGGGACATCCTCAGGCCAGCGCATGGAGATCCAGCTGTTATGGTGCCTGGCCAGTAAAGCGAAAGGGAACCCCCACTTGTATGATATGTTGCGGTCCCTCAATGCGGCTGTCACGGGACGGAGAGCCCGCCGGGCTTCCAGCGTGATCGGGGACAAATCATTATATAAGGCCACTTGCGCACTTCGATAAGGCCACGTTGGTCTTTCCCTGGCCTTCCTCATGATGGTGTCTTTTACAGGAAAGGAGTGAAGGCAGCAAATGAGATCTCTCGGGCCGTCTTCCAGGGACCTAGGTCGTGTGATTCTATGTGCCCGCTCGAACTCTATATGTTCTGGGGATGTCGGTTGCAGGATTGTCTGGAAGATTTCGGTAAGTATTTCCACGACATTTTCAGCCGTACTATCATCTTCAGGCACACCCCGGATGCGTATATTACACCTCCGACCCCTATTATCCAGGTCCTCGAGGTGTCTTCTCATTGATAGGAGCAGCGTACCTTGGCGGGCTATTGCTGTATCCGCGGACGTTTGGCGCGCCGTGAGGGCCTCAGCCGCCTCCTCCATGCTTGTTATGCGGCCCGCGTGAGATGCAACCTCGGAGCGGATACCCGCCATTTCAGCTCTTAGGGTATCCTGGATGGCTGTGGTAAGAGACTTCAGGTCATCTTTTGTTGCCATAGAAGCCGTCAGACTCCCCAGCCTGTCCTCAATCCTTTCTAGGACGGAGCTTTCCGGCCCTGGCGGTGTGGTCGGCGCCATCTTGGGGCTTCCCCCCTCCCCGCTAGCACCTGGTTGCGGGTGAAGAAACCCGTCCAGGGGGCCCTGCTGGAGGTTCCTGGGGGTCTGTGGTTGCTCCGGGCGTTTGTTGCGACCCATTTGGCTGTGTGGTAAGCTGTTACGAGGACTTATCAGGGTCGGGTGGAGCGGAGCTCTCCTTCTATGCGGCCATCTCGGTCAGCGCCGTAACCACGCCCCCGACAAAACACATTACATCCATCTGTACTGTGATTGATTTTTATTTTTTTTTTACTCTGTGGACTGTGTGTAGCAATCTCCTGTGTGATGGATCTGGTTCTGAAAAAGAGGAAGTAAAACGGTCTTCTTTTAATGCATATGCCCCAATGGGAAGTCTTTATTTTTTTATTTAATATCTGCCTTTCTAAGCCACCCTGTGCTGGGAGATAGTTTGCAGTGACTACGCATCACCATAACGTTTTCAATAATGCAAAGTTGTTATGGTGCTTAGAGAGACCCATTCATAAATGTATGATGGCTTCACATGAAATTACAAAGCACTTTCAAATATCTTGACACTATATAAAATCATATAAAAATTAGATCAGCTAAACAAGAACATATAGTTTGGGGTGTTCTTAGTGTCTGGTCATCCGTTTTTAAAGTATATTAATACATACAGTATGAAGATGTATTTGTGCAGAAGAGAGGGCTACAGAGTTAAAAAGGTGGAATGGAAAAAGCATTGTTTTGTTTCAACAATCTATCAATGAGTGCCCTCAAAGTTGGTCGACATTGATAATGTGGAAGTGTTATTTCTGCATTATAAATGCAACTGAGATGTGTTTGGTTTCTGGGCACTGTGAACGGCCTCCGCTTAAAAGCAAAATACAAAGAATACAAATTAAAGAAAAATTATATTCCCAAAAATGCATAGATAATGAATCAATGCAAAAGAAAATTATTTTATTAAAACTATATTTCTCAAGCCTTAAAAGCTTTACTTGTCTTGGCAGCAAACCTTTTTGTTTTTTGCTCACTACTTAGTATCTTACTAGTGCTGGGCTTGCCCAATAAAATGCTTCTCTCCACATTGAGTGAAAATCCACATTTCAAATTCTTCTCCTAAAGTGGGGTAATTCTGTTGAGATCTAGCGATCCATATAAACAAATTCATACTTTGCAGCTGGTTTAATTTATGCATCCATTACAATGGTGATTTGCTATGTAGAGCTGTCAAATTCTAATCCCGATTTAAGAGAGGGATGCACTGAGAAAAGGTCACTGATTTAATATGTCTATACTGAAGTATTTCATTTAATACATTTTGGTAGCACTGTGATGCATTTTGCAATCCAGTTGTGTTTGAAACCTCTGTTCATTTTGCATAGTGCTAACTAGTAACGAAGCAACGGCTTTTGGGGGAGGTATTTTATAGCCGTACAGAGTGAGGGTGTCTTGTCTAGTCTAGGTATTGCGGTATCCTTTTCTCAATCTGTTTCTGGCCATTCATTTCTTATTGGATGAGGTTGACTGGAATGATATTCTGCATAAACTGTTTAGCAAGTGATTGACTCACTATGATATTACTTCTGTTGTGTATTTTA